GGGTGTGGGGCCGAACTGCATTTCTCACACGTATTTTACACAGGAACTCTCCCTTCAGACACATTCGACAGATGAAAACAAATGTGGTTTAGTCTGGCAGCTTCAAACGGTTAAACAGCACAAGGAAACTTTGTTCCGGAACGACATAGAGGAAACCCAGATCAGCCCCTTTGACATATGGTCCGATGCCCTAAATGAAGTAATGGAGAGGGATTAAGAAAAACTGCAAACAACTTCAAGATGAAACGTTAGCAAATATCTTGAAAAGAACTTTTGTTACCCTGCCATTAAGCTGAAGAAGTTCACCATCAACCCATTGTGGATTTTTGAAGCCAAATTCTGCTATTCTTCCTTGACCTTTGTAACTTGCCACCTGGATAGAATTTCACAAAAAAATGCACAAACTTTTAACTTTCCTGGCTAAAGTTTGTGATATGACAAATAATGTGAGCATCATTCACAAATCCCGAGCCTATAATTGTTCCTCTTTCTATAAACAGTTCTCTTTGTAGAACTGTAAAGATATATTAGATAAAGAGAACCAACTCTCGTGTTTTTCATGAAAACAGTGATTCAATCACTCTATAGACTTCCGAGGAACTGCTTGTTTCAACATTCAGACAAAAAAAACATTCAGACAAAAAAAAAGGTCCTTTTTTTCTTTCATGATTATCAAAAGGCCCATAACACTGAGTTTCAAGAATTGTCAAGTGAAGAAAAAATTGCAATGGAAAGGAGAACAGCAACAAAGATAAAAACTATGGCCTAGACCTAGCTACATACCACTCCAAGTTCATCTGGATACTTCCCACGGTTGGAATTGCGACTTCCTTTCCCAATTCTGGCGCGAAATGTCACCTAAACTTCACAGTTGGAGAATTAGTTAGTATAAAATTTTACATTACTGCCACATGTGATGGGTATTAACTTCAAGAAATAATAAAATTGCAAACCTGGCCAGCAGGGACATTAAGATCCCCAGTTAGCTTCACAGCCTCAACATACTCAAAGAACTCCATATCTGAGGGTGGGTCATCCTCAATATTCCAATGACCATATTTACGCTTCAATTGTACTATCTCAGTCCCATAAGGCCCAAATGCACCAACATATAGGCCTACGATTCAACCATAAGATTATGGCATAATAATATACATCTCTTTCTGCTTAAATCAAAAAATAGAAAACCATGTGTAAAGCAAGTCACCGTCAAATGGATCTAAACTGCTATTAGAAGTTGTTACTCTACTGAAAGTTGTATACTCAGATAAACTGCTTTGCTTCTGTGCCTGACTAACAGCAAGTTTCACGATTTCACGCACATTTCTTGAAACCTAAGAAAAAAAATGATCAAATTATTGTAAAAAAAAATACAGTAACGTAATCAAGTAGATTGACTACAGTTAAGATTGGAGATGTTCAAAAAGTTAGTATGCCTATACTATCAACTAGGTTGGAATTTAACCCAAGACAATAGCATCCACATTCAGTATTACAGAAAAAGAAAAGCAAAAAATATTCAGAATGTCCATTCTGATACAATAAGATAAAAATTTGATCATTGTCACAGTAAAGGTTTTCACGTAAATTTATGGAAAAGGAGAAGTTTTCTTCTGGCACTATTGCAAAATGTAAATAAAAATCAATAGTCTGCTAACTTCAACAGGGTGTTTTTCTCCTAAAAAAGGATAACAGGCACATTTTTCCTTACAGTTTGTCAGGTTCAACTTAGGTCCCTGAAAAAAATTGTCAGGGCTGTCAAAATATTCAATACAAATGAATGGAAGTTTCCAATGTGGCAAACAAGACACATTAAAAAATTTGATTAGACACGGCATCTTACCTAACCATGGGGAGGGGTAAGGAAAAATCTAGCATATATCTTTTCGAATGGTTGGGAAAAAAGGCATCTAAAAGTTAGAAGTACCAAATTTTTACAGCAACATTGCAACGGTTTTTTTCCCAAAGGATTGAAGAGGAAGCCTGATGAAAAATATTGTCCAGTACCCCATAGAAACCAATAATCCTATTTATATCAAGATTGAGTTATCTAATAACAATTGGGAGATGTAATGTAAATGGATTATGAAAACTGTCCAATGATCAAAACCTGAATCTATTGCATTGATCTCACCTTTGAAGAAACTTTGTCTGCACCCCAAAATGCCTTTGCAACATCTGAAGGCATAAGCTCAGAAACACCTTTAGCTGTTATAGCTGCCACTTTCACCTTGAATGCTTGACTTTCTTTACTGTCAGAATCTGGACTTCTTTGAACATGTAGTACAAAAGAATCTCTCTCCATATCTTTAATTTCAGCTGGAAGACGCACATACTCATCCTTGCTCGGAGTATCTTCATTGTTATGTACAACCCCTCCAATAAAAAGCTTCATATCTAAATCTTTTCCATCTTCTGAGGAATCACTACTGCCTTCCAAAGCTACCTCATCAGGCTGAATCTCTTCTAGATCACTGGCATGTTGTTCCAAATTCTCACTAGACCCTGTCTTGTCATCATCTTCTTGCATCAACTGCTTCACAGAATCACTATCCTCCATCACTTCCCCTGTAGTGTTAATGTTCACAACTTTTACTTTTAACCCAGGAATCTTATCTTTGAGAAAATTTATCACACTTTTTATCCCTTCCTCAGTTGCTTCCTCAATATTTATGCTCTTCTCCTCACTCTTCTCTGTCTTTATGTCATTTTCCTGAACATCCACTACAGATGCATTCTTATCTTCAGAAATGGATGGAACCTGTGTAGATTTAGATCGTGAACTGGTAGAGTTAGTTGAACTTCCTATAGCTCGTTGCAGACATACTACCTGTCAATGAACGCAATGTTGGAAAATGGGATCTTTCATAAGAAAATATTAAAGAGAACTGAGATCCAAGAAGAGATATTCTCCACTGAGGATAAGCCACGTGACAACAAGAACAAAGATTGTTTGAACGAAAAATACATCTCAAAACATCTGCACCCATATAAGATCTTTCTTGTTGAAAATTCTCAGAACCTGTCAAAACATCTGCACCTATAATAAGGTCCTTCTTGGAAATTGATTTCCTCACAACAGAACATATTTTGGACACATACATGCACAAGATGCATTCATGCATGAAACATCAAAGTCCATGTATAAACATACTAACATACACAACAAAATGAAAGGAAAAATAAAGAAAAAAAAATGATAGTTTTCTTCTAGTTGATGATCACCATAAATTTCTCCATGCCCAACATCAAAACAGGATGATGCATATCAATAAACTTTAGCGCTGTGATCCTAAATTCAGTTACATATTAGCAGGCCAATAATCATAAACCAAAAGAAAAATCTTCACTTAATGGCTATAATCCTCCTGGCCAACCAGACCTGTAATTGCCAGCTCTTTGGAGTTCACAAGCAATAAGAGTAAAGAGCTTAGCTCAACAGAGAATTTATCTGCCCTGATCGAGAGCATATCATTAGAGATCCAAAAGACTACATAGTAATCTGCCACATGCAGACTAGATTACAATCCCACACACCACAAAGACTTGTTCTGTAATCAACTCTAGATTACAGAATTTCTGAACTTAATTACCACGGTAAATTTCAAGCACAACCACATGACATGTGCCTCACAGCACATTCATATTGTAGTTCTGAATTCTGTGCATGTGCAATGTCTTCCCTTACAGATGAATCAGTATGAGCACATAAACAAAGTCAGCATCGTCCCAAAAATCCCATGACTCTCCACATTGGTAATGGATAATTTTAAGTCAACGAACTCATGAATTTGATCTGTAGTTAGTGTTTAAATGAGGAATGATCTAAAAGGAGAAATTGTAGCTCACTTGCATAGCATACTTTTCCTCAGCATCTTTGACCACAAAAATCTCAAACAATGGAGTTCCAGGAGATGAATTGACCAACTGCCTGCAGAAAACGATATTTAACCAACGAGCACCAGTGCATCAAACATTAATCAAGATGAAAAATATCCTTACCTTGGAGTATAACTCCGGCCAACAAATCTGCCCACGCCAGGTGTTATGCGAACCAGTCTGCCAAAGGGATCATCAGAATCTGATGAGTAGCCCACCCACCAACCTACCTGTTCACTCAAAGCAGAAAAGTTAAATTGACATTGCAAGAAAGAAAATACGAGAAGAATCAAGAAATTCTGAGATATAAGTTTGTTGGTTGCTACCTACATTAAACAATACATGATCTAATTAGATAGGCTAAATTTACAATCCAATACCAACTCACAAAGGTAAAAGAAATATGAAACCAATGAGGCAATGCACAAGTCAGGAGACAAAATCTAAGAGCTCCACAATGAAAAGCACTTGGTCCTCACTTATAGTTGAAGGCTTTAAAAATAAAATCACAGGAAGTCATGCCTCCAAAAGGAACAACTTAAACAAGTTTATCCCTTTTGAAGTTAAATAATGGGGGTGCAACCAAAATAAACATTTATAATTCTTGTCTAAAAGTGTGATGCTGTTCACTATATTTATTGTTCATCCAGGCCAAGAAATGCCAATTCTCAATTTCACTGGAAAATGTAAAGCAGGTGACTTGAAAACATAAAAATATGACTGGACAATAGATAATTGATGCTACGGTAAATACCAATCCACTTCCTGTATATTTACACAATTTTGAAGCATCGTGGTATCGTTCTTCCTCTATTGCATTCTGCAGATAACAGACAGACATTTTATTAAAAACCAAATGTTATGCATGCAAGTCCATACTTCAAGGGACTGGTATAAAGTTCTATGCACACAGTTCTAAGGCCCCATATAGAATTCAAACCTTCAATTCAGACATTATAAGGGCTACATTATCCTTTGAAGTAGCTTCAGCAATGGCTATTTTCAACTTTGCAGCCTCTTGAAAGTCTTCATTTTCAATTGCATCTTCCAGTTGAAACTGAAATGAAGGCATTCAATTAATACAAAAGAACAAGCAATATGGATATGCTAGAACTTCTTTCTTCAATATCTAAGGTGCCAAAAATGAAACTGGATGGATCCAAATTACTTGAGACCATTACCACAGACATAAATGCTTAATGTGCAGTTATAATTTATCAGTCATCAAGCATGCACGCTTACTTCATTATAGAGGAAAACCAGTACTCTGATTTTCAAAAGTTGTTTGGTAATCTACATGTTTTTTGGCAAAGTCAATTATCTGATGGGTATACAAAAACACATTGTTCTAAAAATACACAATACATGATATAAGTCTTAATACTAGCATAGCAATAAATAAATAAAAGCCATCTTCTGATTCTGCTATATGCCTCATGTCCTTGATACTCAAAACAGTCATGCTATACAATAACTCTCATATATACCCCCTATCTCTTCTCTTCCAAGAAACAGAAGTATGGAAGAAGTAGCCACCTCCGCATCTGAATCGCATGGAAATAGCGCACTTTTCTGAAACAAAAAAGTTTTACTTTCCTAGAAAAGATTAGCCCCTCCTATTTGACAAAACTTTTTTTTTTTTTCATGACTGAATAAAGCAAAGGAACTATATCACGAAAATCTCTCTGGATGAAGAACACTACGCGAAAAAATGGAACCACACAGAATGACAAACTATACAAGCTTTCTGTTCACATTTTCCATACAATTGAACCAGTTCTTCTATTGACATGTTTCCTATAACACAGTAGAAGATAATAAATTCAACTGGTACCACCTATGGGACCATAAAGCACCTCAAGACCAAGCTAAACATATGAAATCCATAGAAACATAAACGCACAGAACCAATACCAATCATAAAAGACCAATATTTAATAAATTGAGCAATTAGGCAAACTGATTACCTACCAAAAAAATCGCAATAAACTAGTTACAATTAAAAATATAAACTTCGTGTTTTCAGCTACAAACAATTAGAACCTTTAACATAATCAGGAAATTATGCAGACAACAACAAGAACCCGCCACAAAAAATCCAAAGAAACCTATTAAAAGTTAAAAAGAGGTACCTTGAGAACAGAAGCAAAACTTTCAGCTTGTTCAATCTCAGAAAAATGGCGGTTCCATCTGTTCCAGTCCCACTTCAAAGTATTATTGCTGTTATTGCAACGACAGCAGTGCAAATTTGAGTTCTTGCGGGTGGTTTTATTTAGAGAAAAAGAAGAGTTCCTGTTGTTGTTGAGAGGAGCAGAAGAGCGGCCCGAACCGAAAAGAAAGCTAAAATTGGTAGACTTGTGGGCTGAGAAATCAATGCAACAAAAGGGTCTTAGCTGGGGCACTGTAGTTATCGATTGCCCCATCCCACCGAAATTATTTCCCACCATCATCTCTTAATGCTTGAGGGTTTCCAGGTGCTTTAAGAGAGAGGGAAAGGGAGAGAGACAAGGTGTTTTTGGAGAATATAGCTGATGGAATTTGATGATGACTGTTTTATAGTTGGGATAGTTGGGGATAAACTTGTAAGAAAGTGAGAGGAGGCTTACTAGAATATTCGGAGTTTCCTACATGTATCAGATCTATGGGATCCATTTTGATGTACAGCTGGCTAAATTTTTCAATTTTTATTTTTATTTATTCTTAAATTTTAAAGGCTATTATTTTCGTTTATCTATAAATTTTTAGATTTTCCCCCGACTTTATTGTAAAATGGCAAAACCAATAATATTTGACGCTTAGAGCCCTTAAATAG